AAAAGATGGGCAAAACAAAATCAGACCTATGGCGCTGCTGTGAAGAGCGAGTTGAGGAAGCATCTGAGTCTCCGGAACACAAACCTATATCATGTACTTTGCAACTGCGAGGCATTGTGACGCAGAAGACCTATTTAACGGCTGCGGATGTGAAAGAAGCCAATCCCCGGCAAATTAACCGCTTTACCAAAAGCCTTAATTTGGGAAGCTACTAGATATAATAGATCTAATCAGGCCGCAGTGCAGAGAGGTCGATAACCTAAATACCAAAACACCCCAACCATCACAATCTACAATCTTGATAACCAGCTTAACATCCTAAACTTTGGCACTGAAGAGTATGTACTGTCTGAAACTGAGGATTCAATATCAGTTACCCATAAAAGCAACACACAAACTCTAAAAAATACAGCAATACCAAACAAATAATATGTGGGCAGTTGGAGAATGATTCTGAGAGCCGCTTTGAACTCGTGCAACCACACAAAACCAATAATAAATACTTCGTTATGGCGATGTCATAGATACCTACTGACCCTGTCGAAGGTGAATCGGAATGTGCAGCTCAAAAGCATCAGGGAAAGAAATAAAATAAATCATGTAGCGAAGCGACATTCTAGACAATTCGAGACATATTGGCAACATCTCTCCTCTTCGGAATTAAAAAAGGTTCAACAATTGGTTTGTGAGAACGAGGATATCTTTAAAGGTAAAAATTACGAAACTGCTAATACTAACATTAGTAGGTATTGCTCAACCAATCCGTGAACTACCTGGAAGACTTCTCATGATCAAACAACAAACAACAATCACTTACTAGTAAACAGTATGTTTGCAGAGGGAGTTGTTAAAGACAATAGGGTAGTGGACAAGGTATAATTTCAATGAAATCGATGACCCATTCTTTATCTATGAAATAAATAAAATATATTCGTATCAAAATACATTTCAGAAAAAAATTACTAACTTTGTTTAAAAAGGTTGTAAAACTAGAGTTTTGGGACACACTATTCAAACGGAAATATTTCGCGGCTTGATTTTATGTCATAGCTGCTGTATTGAAGTATGAATAAAATTGAACATATTTCCGACATTCGATGCAAACTTATTCATTAGTGCAAAAGAAAAAGATATATCAGCGTCTGTCAGGTATCATTACATCTAGGCGCACCCTCAACTTAGCCCCACTTTTTGAGAGATTTCCATTTGTCAGTCAGAGCGGTCTGAGTTTATCTGCATCTTTTTCTAAAAGCATGTAAAATATAAGGACGCGCAGACCGCGCTCTCGCCACTCTTATCAATGTCAGAATGCCATGACGCTATTGGACACAACCTTCGACACAACATCTATGACGTAATTTCCGGTCGGTAAATTATAGCGTTTAAAATAAGTACAAATTTGTTAATTTTTTTTTAGGTTTATTTTTGTTTTCTAAAGTCAAAGAATCATCAACTACTATTTATTTTGTTATGGAGATTAATAAAAAAAAATATTTCAAAAAATTGTCCACTACCCTATTGTACAGCAACCAAAAAAGACAAATCTATCTATCAGATTTTGTGTCGACTTATCGATGTCACTTAAAAAGGCGGTTACCCATTACAACTTGGAGAAGAGGTTATTATAGCTATTTATGTACCAAGGGGATTATGTAGATTATAATGCCCGAAGGCGAAACTATTTTGCCTGAAGGGCATTATAATCTAATAATCCCCGTGGGTCATACAATGCTTTATTTTCTACTCCACACGATGTTCTTTCATCAATTTAGTATCAAAAAAAAATCAGTTAAACTTGTGTGACAGAATATTGTTTTGTATTTTGACATGTACCTGTACCTGTGACCTGTACCTAGCAACGAAATAAATTAATATACGTATAAACATCTCATAAAGCAAGGCTACGGTGGTCGTGTGGGTTAACACACTTGACTACATGCTGAGTGTGTAGTTTTAAGTAGTCCTGTCCTAGTTTTAAATCTATAATAGTTAAGAAGAAAATAAAATAGGTACTATAGCAAAGTGCTGACCAAGCCGGAGAGAAATTATTGCGTGAAAGGTACTGCTCACAATAGTCCAAGCAGTGTATCATTTCCGCAAGTATCTACCTATATGGACAACAATTTCTCATAAGAACAGACCATGCATCGCTTAAATAATGTCTCTTTGACATAAAATAATCAGGACAGGCAGCAAGATGGAAGTTGCAATAGTACCATTTCCAAATTGAACATATTCTGGTAAAATGGAAAACAACGCAAGTACCTTATCCAAGGTAACCACCACACCCAATGCATGTACTGCCTCAGAATTTAAGATTTGACTGGTTTTCAATATGAAGCGCGTAGTTTGTTAGTTGAAGTTTTCAAAATAAAGAAATTGTTGTTCAAAGTTAGTATGTAATGTTTAGTGCAATGTCGTTGTTGTTAGTAGAGAGAAATCTAATGTAGCCACATGCTTAACATTTAAGAGTCCATCCACCCAACACACGAACACACTGTATAGTATAGTTTAATATATATCAGTGTGTGTCAACTAGGAAAAAGCACTTTATCACAGGCAATAAAGATGTATTGTATAAATATTTTTATCATGAAATAAAATAATATTGTGGTATTGTAATAGGTAGATGATAAATACCTACATATCTATACATTCCTTATCCTTGAAAGATCCTACTGCATTGCTGGAGATATCTCATTTCTCTTTTTGCCTACCTATTTTTCGTTTCGCTTATCTTTTACACTGAGTGAACAAAATAAATGATATCAATGTTATGTGGTTCCTCTTAAAGATTGAACTCCGTATATAGCCGTACGTACCTATATCTGCATGATTCGATTTTTTTTATTTATCTTTATCTTGTAGCTATATGTATAAAAATAGTAATAAGTATTTAAAAAAAACTACATTCTGTGAGAGGATTAATTGTGAAACAAAAACAAGGAGAGTTCATTTAAAAAATGAAAATAAATTCGCCCTTTTGTGCAACCAACGCATTTTTAAATACAGGGCCTCCATCCTTTAGCATAGACCTAGCAAAAAAAAGAGAGAGTTTAGCAGCAATTTCAAACGCATTACTAACGCTTGAATGCTATTGGCTGGGGGTTGTTTGGAGAAATAAAAGGGTGGCATAGAGGGGTGCGTTGCGCTCGACGTGTGTCAAGAACAGGCAAGACGCCACTTCCAATACGATGTTTCGCGGTAATTGGATTAAAATTTTAATTAATCTAAAAATTCGCACCATATTTATTAAGCCGAACAATGGTATTTGATTGGAGCGGTTTCGGGTTTTCGAACGGATTTATCGGATTTGATTTTGTGATGCTCAGTAAACAAGTCCAAAGCAAATAGTTTTTTCCTAATTAATTTAGATACAGCTTCATAGATCTGAATAAGAATGGGCTCAGTTATTATGTGATAAAACTTTTAACGAATTTGTTGATGCTCGATTCTGTGAAGAACTTTACTTCTTCTTAGGTTAAAAAAGATTTCAATAAATCGTCATTATAGCAAATTATAGCTATGTTGAAATTCTCATGCTCCAAACGATTTGCCTGCAAAAAAAACCGCGAACAGTCAATGTAACTGCTTTCATTCATTAAATGTTATTTAAATTGCAAATCCTGGTATATTGAATATTTCAAATCCATGATATATTGGCATTGCTAAGGCTTTTAGGTTAAGATTTCATGACTTCGACACAATATGAAATAGTTTCAATTTCACTGAAAATAAAAATGATGACTGATGACTGATCCAGAAGAAATCCTCCTCCAAAGCCTTTTTAAAATAATTTGCAGAAATGAATCAGAGGAATCAGTCGATGAAGATTGGAAAGTAAATTGAACTAAAATGATTTCGAGTCAACGATGACAGCATGCAAATAATTACATATTTCTTATATCGGAAGCAATAGATAGGTACCTAACAAGTTGGACATTAGTTTAGCAGATGACTTAAGTTTGGTTACGAAAAAAGTTCACAAACAAAGAAATATCACTTCGATTATATAGATAGTTTTTGCTTTTATGAAGACTATTTTGTATTTATTAACTCAATTTAGCGAAAAGTTGAAAAAGTGAAATAATTATCAATGGTGAACTGGCGAAACTAAAATTGACACACAAGCAAAGCAATCAAGAAACCATTTATTTTTTAACGATTACATATGAAGAGGAGATACACAGAAGATATTCGACATTGAAAAAATCACCCCCCGGATTAGGCTGATTGAAAAGTGCAGCCCAGGGGCAGGTGAGATAACACACACAAACGGGGTGGATCCCTTCTTGTCGTAGAGATAGGGGAAATAGATAGAGACGAGTCAAAGTATTTGTTTATTGACGGTTGAATATAACCAATGTGGTAAACCAGAAACGGAGCGTTTTTTTTTTTAATTATCTTCAAGCCATTGTTAAAGCGGAAAACAAAATGGCTGAACGTTTAATATGTACCCTCAACTGGCAGATGTTGATGGCTTTTCGTCGCAAAGAGTATTACGTAAAGATTTTCTCTTGAATTTAGTAATTAAAATCAACGACTTCCCCACAGAGGAATCTAACTTCTACTAATTCCCAAATCACCATTAGACATCCACACGCACACAGACATATTCCCTCGCAAAGCCCAATTGCTTCGGAAATGAGAAACATAATTGCTCCTACTTGTACCCAAAGCTAAAGCCAAAGTGATCGATTATCCTGAATTATAGGCACTGGGTGACAGATTTTCGATGGCCCTTGACTCGACTATAAACATTTAATCAGCAAAAGGCCTCTAAACAAAAACAAACGCACTTTACGATCAACATGTAGACACTGTAATAAAACTCGCCGTATGGCAAATATAAAGTACAGGGGCGTAGAAAATTGGGGAGTTTCAAGAGTTTGGAAGCTTGTAATAGAAATTTCTTTATTATGTAACCTTCGCATAAGGAAAAAAATAACTTTTGTCCTAACCTATCAACGAGTTACCTTTATCAGTTGGCTCAATATTTATTTGATATCTATATCCATTACCTTATGTGAAAAAAGTGGGATGTGGGATTTATAGAAAGACTGAAATAATATTTAAGTGATTTTTTATTAAAATGATAAAATGCCTCTTTTGCTAGAGAGGCATTATTTAGTTTGGGCATTGGATTTGTTCTGCCAGATGGTGAAAAAGGTCAGTCAGACGCGTGGAGGAGGAGTTGATTGTGGTCCTGGTGGTGGAGGTGGTCCAGTTGGTGGTGGTGCTGGCTCACCAGATGGAGGAGGCGGAGGAGGACTTGATGGTGGTCCTGGTGGTGGTGGTGGTCCAGTTGGTGGTGGTGCAGGTTCATCAGATGGAGGAGGAGGTGGAGGAGGACTTGATGGCGGTCCTGGTGGTGGAGGTGGTCCAGTTGGTGCTGGCGCAAGTTTAACAGACGCAGAAGAAGGCGGAGGAGGACTTGATGATGGTCCTGGTGGTGGAGGGGATCCAGTTGGTGGTGGTGGAGGTGTTCCAGTTGGTGGTGGTGGAGGTGTTCCAGTTGGTGGTGGTAGAGGTGTTCCAGTTGGTGGTGGTGCAGGTTCACCAGATGGAGGAGGAGGCGGAGGAGGACTTGATGGTGGTCCTGGTGGTGGAGGTGGTCCAGTTGGTGCTGGCGCAAGTTTAACAGACGCAGGAGGAGACGGAGGAGGACTTGATGGTGATCCTGGTGGTGGAGGTGATCCAGTTGGTGGTGGTGGAGGTGTTCCAGTTGGTGATGGTGGAGGTGTTCCAGTTGGTGGTGGTAGAGATGTTCCAGTTGGTGGTGGTGCAGGTTCACCAGATGGAGGAGGAGGCGGAGGAGGACTTGATGGTGGTCCTGGTGGTGGAGGTGGTCCAGTTGGTGCTGGCGCAAGTTTAACAGACGCAGGAGGAGGCGGAGGAGGACTTGATGGTGGTCCTGGTGGTGGAGGTGGTCCAGTTGGTGGTGGTGCAGGTTCACCAGATGGAGGAGGAGGCGGAGGTGGACTAGATGGTGGACCTGGTGGTGGAGGTGGTCCAGTTGGTGGTGGTGAAGGTTCACCAGATGGAGGAGGAGGCGGAGGAGGACTTGACGGTGGTCCTGGAGGTGGAGGTGGTCCAGTTGGTGCTGGCGCAAGTTTAACAGACGCAGGAGGAGGCGGAGGAGGACTTGATGGTGGTCCTGGTGGTGGAGCTGGTCCAGTTGGTGGTGGTGCAGGTTCACCAGATGGAGGAGGAGGCGGAGGAGGACTTGATGGTGGACCTGGTGGTGGAGGTGGTCCAGTTGGTGGTGGTGCAGGTTCACCAGATGGAGGAGGAGGCGGAGGAGGACTTGACGGTGGTCCTGGTGGTGGAGGTGGTCCAGTTGGTGGTGGTGCAGGTTCATCTACTGCTTTGGCGTGACGCCCTAATCCGAACCATCTTAAGGCGGAGGCTTCGGAGACCTGAAACAAAAAATGTAAATAATCAAAAGTCCGGATTTATGCATAGCTACTGTACTGAATAACTTCTGTTATTTGAAACAGCTTACAAAGCTTGACATCCGCATGAACACGAAAACAAATGCTTTGATAATATGAATCAAATGGACTCACGGCCATTTGCACCGCTATAACTTAAGGGATATTTATTCCAAGTGAAGCTTTGATTGTGACTCTTGTAGAAACAAAAGTCACATTCAAAGCTTCACCTAAATTTAATATCCCTTAAGTGATAGTTAAGTGAGCCGTGCAAATGGCCATTATTGAAATAAGAAATACCTACTATAATTTATGCCAAATAAATTAGTTTAAATTAAAATAGAATGAAACATGAAACTGTTAATTTCTCCTATGATTAATTGATTAATATTATCAATTATTAAAATCATTGACATTAGATACAATTTTATTGTTGTTGTGCTAAAATTGCCAAATCGCATCCAAGAACACCAAAATTTAGATTGATCAATGAAAACCGGAATCAAACATCAAAGATTGAATTTATGTATCTCCGATGTTTAATTTTTGCAGGAAATTTATTCAAATTAACAATCAGAACAATTATTATTTGAGAAATTAATAAGATAGGAACTTAGTAGCTGGTAGGATGAGTTCCAAAATTACTAGTATCTCGACAAGTATCATGATGAATTTTTTTACATGTTTCACTGTTCCATAAATTTCCAAATCAAATCAATTAGGAATGAACTGCATGACAGGAAATGCTGGGGGCATTACAAGTAAACACCTAAGAGTAAGGTAGGTACAATAATTTGAAATATTTTAGGTTTCAATACAGGTGAACATAGGAATGTAGTTTAAATCTATGGTTTTAACGAGAAAAATAAAATAAATAATTCATAACTATGTTCCTGTCGGCAGTAAGTCAACGATACATTTTACTGCAATTTGGAAAACCAAAAGAAAAACAAAATAAATTATGAAACTTTGACCTGAAAAAAAATCAAATATATAGCTAATTCTATCCAACTCTTGCTACGGTTATCAAATATTTGACTAAAACAACCCTTAATTATTTTGACAAAATCTGTAATATAGGGAGTAAATTAGGCAAATTTAATTTTTTAGACGGGTTCGGACGGTAATATACTTATGTATATATTTTTTTTAATTTGCAAGAAATAGAAATTTCTAGTGAACCAAACATTCTATGTGTTTTTTGTTAAAAAAAAGTTCTACTAACATAGGGTGTTGCGAAATTTAAAAAAAATTAAAATTATAAGCCCATTCAAATTCACACCCAAGCAGCTAGTAGAGAAGTTGTGAAGGAGAGGTATATCTAGCATGAAATTATGGAAGGTATAAACTTGCGAAAACAGGGTTTTTGGAATAATTTTATTTTTTATTTTAATGCAAAATAGTTTCCAGTATTGTAGACAAATTCAAAATAAATATAAATTAAACCAAAAATTCATTTTTTTTGTTACTATTTCCCCATCATCACCGCTCCGAAGATCAATATTCCGGCCAGCAATCAAATATTGAATATAATCAAAATATTATAAAAGTTTCACTTAATTATTATAGTCTATTTCATTGCAGTTGATAGCTCAAATCGAGGTTTAGGACCATAAAACCATTGTACACCATAGGGTTTACAATTAATTTCTGGTTCTAAACCTCGATTTGAGCTATCCACTGCAATGAAATATGCTATAGATACAAATATTCCAAATTGTGATCAGTTGATCAAAAATTTGACAGTAATGGATTAATAGTATCCAAAATTTGATATATGATTCGAAATATGAAGATGTATTTTTAATTCTGCCTAAGTAACACATTTTTTGAAAACATAAATTAAATTCAATAATATAGATTTTTTTTTTTTAAGTCCTAGGATCTATTTTTCAGTTTATGATTTAAATTGCAAAAAACTCACCTGAACTGCCGAAGCAGCTAACAGCGCTACTGTTAGAATTGTGAGAGTTCTCATTGTCAACTCTATTGACTTGATGCTAAACCAACCAGACCGTGCAGTATTTATACCAAATCCCGACTGTCTGATAAGAATTTCGAGTGGCCAAATGAAAAATTTGCAAGTACCTTGTCTATAAAAACTTAAATATTATGTAACAACTCAAGTCCTAATACCAACTGATAATGAATAAAATAGTCTACGCAATTCCAGTACATTTTTGATAGATGATTCAACCATCATAAATGTCATTACGGCCGGAATGGTTTAATCGCCTATCTCAGAAAGTGACAATTTCTTCAGGTTCGGAAAGAGTCCACAATTGTTCTTCAGAAGCAAGCTGCCTTGAAACATACTACCATCTGTAGCAAAAAAAGTTCGAAACCAACCAACGACGACGACAAAGGAGCAAGCAGCAGCAGCTAAAGATCCTTTTGGTCATTTGCCAAGACCATAGGAAAAAATTTCACGTCTTCTTCCTTTCCACTTTTAGTTAAGGACAAAAATGCCATTGTAGTATAGTATCGTCAAAGGAAAAAGATCTCATTGCCAAACAATTTACATCCAATTCCACGATGGTGGACAATGGCAGCGCCCCACAGGTACTGCCACACATTGGTTCTTACATGGACAACGTTGTATCTAGACCTAAGGACAATTCTGGGGCGTTTTCACGTCTATCTGGAAATGTGCCAGAGTGCAGCCCATCCCGAAAAAGGGCAAGAAAACTCTTCCCAGCAATAATTATCGTCCCATACCGTTTATATTCGTACTTTCGAAAGTAATGGAAAAGGCAGACAATTTGAAACTTGGTAAATACCTACCTCAAAGCCAATAAGCGCAGTTCTGATAAATAGTATGGGTTTCCCGGGTGATGCCGCGAGACGAGACGAGAATCTGCTCTTTCTCGTCATGTCTCGAAAAAATATTTTTTTTTTGAATAAATGCGATACGTTATAGGTTTTGGGAAATCAGAAGCTCCTAAAATCTGAAATAAAAAATCTAGGTCCATATTTAAAAAAACAAAGTTCATGATGGCCGTCCAAAGACGGAACGTCGAATCTGAAATTTGATAGCAACATTTTGTAAAGGAGAAAAAGTGACAATGGTGAAGTGACATTCATTTAGTTGAGTTCTTTCTCTAGCATTGTCTTTATAACACTGGCACCTTTAGCTAAAGTTTGGTCTTGTTTGTTGCACAAAATTAGGATATTTGGCCTCTTTTTAAGTAAACGGCATTTTATTGGTCATAAAATTGCACAACTTTGCCATAATTTAACGAACCTCGTATCTCTTATAGTTTCAGACATCTCAATGGTCACCCTTGAATTTGGGACACTCTGTAGAGGGTGGTCAGAAAATAGAAAAATATACAGGGTGTTTCCTAAATACGATTCGTAATTTCAGGATGTGATTCCTTACAATATTTTAGGAAAAAAAGTTTCCATAAACATGCGTCCGGAAATGCGTAGGTATCAAAGTTTAAAAAAAAAATTGTTTTTTTATTTATAGCTCAAAAACCCCTTTCTCGATTTTCGATAAACTTGGCAGATTTTTTTGTAATAACAAAAGGTATTTTCTGACTTAAATGGATTTACCGTTAATATGCCACAGGCGCCCCAGAGTGCCCCAGAGGGGAATTTCGTGTTGGTGAAAGTAGAAAAAAAAAAAAAAAAAAAATGGCACGCCACTGATTTTCTATAACTTTGATGATTTTTTTTGATTAAGCAATTCATATTAACGGTATAAAAATCTATTTGATTCAAAAGATACCTCTTATTATAACAAATAAATCTGCCAAGTTTTTCGAAAATCGAGAAAGGGGTTTTTGAGCTCTAAACAAAAAAACGATTATTTTTTTTTTTAAACTTTGACACCCTGTATCTCAGAATTTACGCATTTCCGGACACATGTTTATGGGAACTTTTTTCTTAAAATATTGTAAGGAATCACATCCTGACAAGGGCGTCCATAGGGGGGGGGGGGGCAAATGGGGCACTTGCCCCCCCCACTAGGCCTGGCGATTATTATTGTTTCATGATGCTACCATTGCTACCAGAAGAATAAAAAAACAGAATAGCAAAAGTGATACTAAAAGTTGCTTGGAATAGAACACGATATTTTTTTCTTCAGGCGTTTTTTTCGTGCATTTTTTTATAGTTTATAGCACATAAATAAATGGAATCATAATTTATAAATCATAATTAACAGCCGTATTCAACATCCTTTTTTTTTTTTAACTTTAAAAGCGCTTTGAAACTTGTCACTTTTAAAAATTTGGAGACAGTTTTCAAAGTCGCTTTTAAAGTTAAAAGATGTTGAATACGGCTGTTGTTTATTTTCCACATCTATTTAACATTTTTATTCTCCCCTCAAAAAGTCAAATTTTGTGTTTATTTTCTAAGCATCTAGTCTAGGAATTCGATATTTTTATTTTTAGCACCAAAATTATTATAAATAATAATTGTCAAATTGACATTTTGTCTGTGCAATGTGTGTTTATTTTTTTAAATGATGTCATTACAAATGAGTATAGTTTAGACTGCTTATGTTGATTCAGTAATATACGTATGGTTACCTACATAAATGGTCTTATTTTAAAAATAAAAATAAGTCAGATTTTTGCCCGCCTCTGAAAAATGTTCTATGGACGCCCTTGCATCCTGAAGTTACGAACCGTACTTAGGAAACACCCTGTATATTTTTCTATTTTCTTACCACTTGGTACATGCCATTTCAAGTTTTAATACCTAGTTTAATATTATTTTTTCAAGAAGTAGAAACAGTGCTGTGCGAACCTCGGTGAAAGCAGCAGCTAGATCACGAATTCTTGCGAATCGACGGCGAATTTTTGTCAATAATTGAGAAAATTGATGAGTCCCACTAACATTCATATCCATATTTTTAGTCCCACCAATGCCCTTTTTCACCCATAAAATACACTACAACACGAATAAGTAGTCCGTTTTTCAAACAATGAGCGTCACAGGGGGGCGCCCCCCTGTAAGAAACCTACGCAAATTCAAAAATTTATAGTATGAGGCTGCCAACACATTTTTAGAAAACGAGGTAATAAAACAAAAAGGCCTCAGGGTCTCAATACCTTTCAATTACACCTCCTGCAAAGGGGTGGTTAGGTCAGTAGACACAGAACTAGATGTTGGAACTTTAAAAAATTATATTAGAGTAAATTCCTCTTGTAACTTTTATAAAATAAAAAATGTAACAAGATTAAGTAGGCGTATAAATAAAAACTCAGGAACTTATTCTACACAGGATAATACAAAAAAAAGAGTGACCCGTGACCCACTGTTACAACTGTTTTTTATACGGACATACAAAAACCCTATGCAGAGGTAAGTAAAGACGCTTTTAATGCGCAGAACTTATTACCCCAGACAACAATGCCCATACCAATTGCAATGAAACATGTCATCATTGTAAATCAGATGCTCACAGATCTAATTCAAAACGATGTGCCGAATGCTAAAGGCAAGAACTGATCAAAAAAACCATGGTCTTCGAAAACATTTCCTGCTATGAGGCTTTTCCCTTCTACTCCCCAAAAATAATCAAGAACATACCTAGATTCTGGAGACTTTCCTAAAACACTTGCAAATAAAAACAAAAATGACAATTCAATTCCAATTAGGTAATCAACGAAGGTTCGCTGCTCAAAACAGCAGCCAACCCTCAAAAAGGTCATATCCACATGCCTTAGTAAATCCGAATGAAAGGATTCTAGAAAAACCAAAATAGGGTCGTAAGCTTTACAACGAACAACTATTTTTCCCTAACTCCAGATCACTACCAAACTTCCAAGGAACCGCTCCACAATACATACATCCAATCCCTTCCACCTCTCACAATTCAACAACCCCTACTTTCCTTCCATCGCCCAACAAAAGCCACAAAGTGCAATGAAGACTATCGAGAAACTAAATACAGATGAAACCTTTGACTTTATTGTCAACCTTACCTGAAAAAAATACCCAAATAGAATTATACAGTATTCTTCAACACATTTTTAGAAAAAAAAAAAAAAAACAACAGAAGCACAATGTCTATTTTTACACAGGAGCTGACAGTCTTGCAATGGAACGTCCGAAGCATCCTTCACAGCAGGGACAACCTAATCAGCAGCATATGGGCTCATGACCCAAATGTAATACTTTTGAACGAAACTTGGCTAAAACCAGACAGCCCCAAAACCCTGGAAGTCCTTCCCTAATAACACAGTAACATCGCAGAAACATTCCAGAAACATCCATCAGGGATAATGAAGACGTCCCTGGGAGGTCCCTATTTTCCTGGGGACATCCCTGGGATGTTGCAGGCAACAGCCGTGTCATCATTTGCGATGTCCTATAAACATCTCTCAGGGATGTTTCTAAGATGACGCGGGATGTACCTAATACATCCGGGGCAGGTGTAAGAAACATCCTCTATATGTTTCTAGTATGACTTTAATAGGTGAATGAATTTTAGGATTATGGATTAAAAATTACCTAATTCAATAATTTTCAATTTTCGTTCTATTTTCTGGAAGTCAGATAGAACTTTTTCCAAAAAAAAAACAAAAATTGAAAATTATAAAATTAAGTAGGCACATCAGTTTCCAATAACATTTTTTATTGAAAAAATAAGGTACATGCATACTTATATTGATTATCTATCAACTAATAATAACCGACGGACAATTTTGCCTAAATAATGTAGTATTTATGCCCCGTCATGTCATCGAAAACCATAGTTTGGCAGTGGCAGCATGTTGTAGTGGGGGAGTTCGGCGTTTTCTTTTTTTTTTTGGTGCTCCAATTTCATAAAGGTACCATTAACTAACCAAAACAACCACAGAACCAAAATCCAAAGTTCTTGAAGTACAATTCAACTTGCACACCTAGAATGTAATCAACTATGAAAACAAAAAATAATTATTGGTTATTTTCTCTTACCTAATGAAGAATGAAGTTCGGGTTTTTAGGGGCTATTTATTAGAAAAGTTAGAAATTTCCTAACCGACGCCATATTGAAATTAAATAAACTAAACAATTGAGAGTTATGCGACGTTATCTTTCAACAAATAATCTTTCTCACCAACTAATA